ATAGGCCTGCATTTTGCTGTTTTTGTTCTCCGTTCAGATGGTATGGAGGGATATCTCTTACAGGTTGACATCTCCTCCTTATGGAGGATTCCCAGAGTCCAGGAAATTTAACATCCATTGGCAATATAAAAAGATCCTTCCTTTGCAAAAGAGACGGGAAAGTCGTTCTAGGAAGATGCATTGCAGCAAAAGGCACAGAAATAAGTGTGGGAGAGAAAGTGGTCAAAATTGGAGTAATTTGGCAATGGGGATAGTGGTGGGTATATATAATAAAACCATTCTAATGAAACAGAAGATAGGATTATTACAGCGCAGTGACAGGGAGCTTTAAGGCAATATGGGAAAGTCATGGCCAAAGATGACTGAATCTGGAAGACTGCCAAAGAGATATATGTAGACATCTCAAACCAATTTCCATTGTCTGTGAAGCATTTAGGCTCAAGTAACTGCATATGTGTATCTATCTCTCTGTGTATATATAGTGGCTTGAACCTAAATAGAGGATCAATGCAAGCACATAAACAGACCATGTATTAGTTCTGTGGGCTTCCTCTTTTCTTTCCTTGCACTTTCTGTGTCTATTTTCTTTTCTTTTTTTCCCCCTTTCTTTTTTGGTTCCCTTGCTTGACTTATTTTACAGTGAATTTTGTCCAAGTGTTTAATGCTGGGATTTCTTGTTGTTTTTAAGACAAGAATGGCATGGAACTCAGAATCTGATGAAGAGTCTGAAAGACTGAAAATTTCCTCCTCCATCAAAAATTAAACATGACAAAAGCCCCACAGGCAGTGATCCTCAAAGGCTCAGAAATCTGAGCTTTCCAGTTGTATGGATCTCTATTTCATTTAGGATTTTTGTTTTGCAGTGCTCTTTCAGTTCTTAGACCAAAGTGTACAGTTTTGTCATTAGACAACTTCAAGGCTTCTGCCACTTGTGAAACTCACATTTTCCTTTCTTGTGCAAGTATCAAATCCATAGAATCATAGAATCCTCTTATTCTGATTGTTTGAACTGTTCAACAAGTTATTACACTTACTGATTTGTGGTAAGCCCTTTGACAAACTGTTCTAAAAGATATTATCCAATGATTTATGGCCATGAGGTTGGTGTTGCCAGTAATAGGCAGTGTGTGGATGATGGGTGTTGCAGTGATGCTCTTTGGCAGCCAGCAGAATCTGCAGGACAAGCATCTACAATAGGAACTAATTAAAACCAGTCAATTAAGTTAGAAATTTGCCAGTGGAAAGCAGCAACTTGATTAAGTTTAACTGAAGTGGTTGACTTAAGTTGGAATTTTAGTATTAATGTTATTTCCACAATTAAGTTATTTATTAATTAATTAAACGAGACAGTGTTAAACAGGCAGCACATATTACATTTCTAAGTTATTTACCTGAAATGTGTACCTTCTGATTTAAAGCACCCCTAACATGAACCTATCAGAGGATTTTCTTAGCAAGTTTTGTTTGGGGGGGGGGGAGTTCCCTTTGCCTTCCTCTGAGGCTGAGAGAGTGTGACTTGCTTAAGGTCACTCAGTGGGTTTCCATGGCTGAGCAGGGATTCAAAATCTGGTCTTCAGCAGGGTTGGGGGGGACACACAGTTTTTTATATAATCCCCCCAAACCCTTGTTATTGTTTTTGTTTAAACTAGTTTTTTTCCCCTTTGATTAATGTGTAGGAGTAAGATACTCCTTTCTTTATAGTTCCTCAGGACTGAGGAATTAC